TGCAGCAGTGGCCCCCCCCATTGCTGTGGGGCTGGAGTCACATGTAGGCCAGTGCAGGTAAGGATGGCAGATTTCCACGCCTAGAGGGCATCAGTGAACCAGAACAGTTTCTACAACAATTGAGAGTGAGTATAAAGGGGTCATTTAATGTCAGATTCCCACTGAATTGAAATTGCACCATCAGCCCCAGTGAGAATCACCCCCTCCCCTCCCCTTCCGATCACCAGAGCTTTGTCTAGTGACATTATTGCTGTGGAAACTGAGTGTCCTTTACCTGACGTAGGTGACGGTGGGTCTGTAGCCCCTGTCAATTCTGCACCTCCTTCCGAATCTGGCAAGACAGAGCACAGGAAAGGATAATGAACCCAGAACCTTCAGACAGCAGGCAAGACTCACTCACTCTCTAAGGTGGGCTAAGTGTCACTGAGCCCAGTGCGAGTGCCAGGATACCCTCACCAGGGTCCCTCGGATCAGGCCTTACCGGGCATCACAGTAAACACAGCAGTTGGCCCCACCTCTCTCTCCCTCTCTCTAACCCAGGGATCACTGGACAATGATCAGGAGCAGGATCCCAGTTTCCAAGTGAATTTCGCTCTTACCTGCTTTCAATGCGCCTGGCGAGTTTGACGGATTGAGTTTTTCACAGATCAGCTGCACGCACTCACTCGGGAAAAATCCGACCTGTCCAAAGAATCAAAGACAGACACTCAACATTAAACACAACTCCTCGACAATGGCACCCCACCAAACACTCCCAGGGCAGGGACAGCACGGAGTTAGATACAGAGTAAAGCTCCCTCTACAATGTCCCCCCATCAAACACTCTGTAACCTCCTCCAGCACCAACAGCCCTCCCTATCTCTGTAACCTCCTCCAGCCCCTACACCCCCTCCCTATCCCTGTACCCTTCCTCCAATCACAGCCTCTTGAGTAACCCAATAGCCATCACTCCACCATTGGGAGCCGTGCCTTCAGCTGCCTGGAGGGAGCGGGTTTCCTGACCTCAGGAATTCTGTCCCTGACCCCTGTCGTCTTTATCTCTCTTTTTCCCCTTTAAGATACTCCTTAGAAAGCTGGCCTTATGATTAAGTGCTCAGTCCCTCGTCACTCTCTCTCCTCCTGTGGGTTAGGTTATGGAGTGTGTTGACTTCTGTGAGGAGCTGTAATCCTTACCTGAAATGCGTGCTTCCCTCTCCACCAGGAGGTGTCCTCTTTCGGAGGCATGTCCAGGACAGAGACAATGTCCCCCACCTGCAGGGAGGTGACAGGGCCTCAGCAAGTCAACTGTGATGTGCAGCAGAGTTTTTGTGTGTGTGTGTCTGCACACAGCTCTCATCTTGCAGGGACAGGCCATCGCCCTGGGCTCACTGCACATCCTCCATTCATCACTGCCTCATTCACATGGTCACTCACTCACTCACCTCATCACTGCCTCACTCACACAGTCACTCAATCACCTCATCACTGCCTCACTCACACGGTCACTCATTCACTCATCTCATCACTGCCTCACTCACACAGTCACTCACTCACTCAC